GCGAGTAATGGCTATAAACTCAAGAACGTCTTCAAAGTTTCGTATGCTTTTCTTGGAGTCCCTGATATACATAGAGACGTCGGCAATTGACGACGTTGTGGGCCTATTGTTACGTAAAATGGCGGTAAAACGTTAACCAAATAAAAGAGTATAAAATAAACTAAACTGAAACTTAACTAATTCACGACAACGCAATCATGAATAGGCTATGTACAGAAGCATTATTCACTTGATATGACGGCGAGCATCAATAGGTTAGGTACAGAAACATTCTATACATGTCATGACGGCATGTATCATTAGGTTAGGTACAGAAGCCTTCTTGACTTGATATGACGGCATGTATCATTAGGTAATGTACAGAAGCATTCTTGACTTGACATGATGGCGAGCATCAATAGGTTAGGTACATAAGCATTCTTTATTTGACATTACGACGAGCATCAATTGGTTTTCGGCAATTAATACGTAATTATTCAAATATTGTATGTTAAGTTTTGTTTCATTTGTGAGTGTCATGGCAACCATACAGTTGAAACGTGTACTGCCCCATTTGCATGTTATTTCTACACTTCCTGTGTGACATGTGGATTAGGATCTACTTACCCTTCAGCAGGATCCGCGATCTACCCCGGTTTTCGTTAGGGTTCATTTTGTGTAGTCTTGAGTTTTCTGTTTTTTTTGTTTTTTTTTCATTAATTTTGATCTAGACATATTTTCTAGTGCTTTTTTATTTGAGTTCTTAGTCAAAATCAATAACTCCTTCAAAGTAACATGTAACTTTATATGTTGTATTTCATATAGTAAAAGAAAGACAACTCGATGGTAAAAATGTTCAACTAGAATTTATAAACGCATGATATGTTTGTCGGATAAGTCTCATATGAAAAAAAAAGCTTTTAAAAAGTTAATTGTCTTTTTCCGAAGCCTTGAATATAAGTACTAGTACATTTAAACTTCTATTCAATATGACGATAGAATATCGATGTTAAAATCGATATCAAAATAAAACAAATTAAGCTATACTTCCTTTTTTCAGTTAAATATCATGTTCATGCTGCTTTTATCATATGTTTACTTTTGATGAAATGATAACCGCCATTCGCTATCTTTGACAGATAACAACAAAGAAGTTAGCATAAAACATTTATTATAAGATAGATAACCGGTCACAAATGATGTATCTGACAAAAGACATCCAGAGGCGTTATTAGACAACTTTAACTGTAAACCAATTGTATTTGACATTATAAAATATAGAAAAAACAAAATAATATTTTGAATTACAAAAAAAATTTGGATGGAGTTTTATTTTCAAATTGAAAATGCTTACATTTAAATGATCAATTATTTCTTGCCTCCAAATGTACAGTCCTTTCAAGAAGACTTAGTACTCAAACCATTGTATATCTGTCGATTCGGCTGCAAAGCCACACATTGATTTCCGTATTACGAAACAAATATATAAGTTTTTTTTATCTTTAATTTAATCAGAGGGTAAAGAAAATGCACTTTTTTCAGCATGTTAATTGTTTTCCTATAAAAAAAAAATAAATAGAATAGCTTTCAACTTATTATATAATCTAACTTGGAAATTGCTAAGATTTTATATATTCATGATTTATTTGCCACATTTAAACCGAATCTTTAAGGTTAATTGTTGGTTTTATTTCCCCCTATAACACACCATATTTATTTTATTATCATACACATGTTTATACATATAGTAAATCACTATATTTGTTTAGTAACACTTCCAGAAATTTAACAATATCTGTTGAATTGATATAGTTATCATCTTTTGACTGGTAAGGAGGTAATCAACATCCTTGAGTATGACGTGTACAGTTCATCCAATTATGTATAAGATCCAACTCCTTCATTAATTCATTTATGTCACGTGACAATTCAGGCATTGGCGATATAGTGTCATTTATACATTGTATCACATTGATGCAGTCAGTTTTCATACAGTTCTCCACCTAGAAAAAAACCGTTTTACTTTAATTCACATACGTAAGGAACAGAAGCATTCTTTACTTGACATGACAGCGAGCACGAATAGGTCAGGTACAGTAGTATTATTTACTTGACATGACTTCAAGCATTAATAGGTTAAGCACGGAAGCATTCTTTATTCGAAATGACGGCAAGCATCAATAGGTAATATACTGACAAATTCTTTTCTTAATATGACGGCTATCATCAATAGGTAAGGTACAAGAGTATTCATTATCTTGCATGACGGCATGCATCAACATGTAAATTATAGAAGCATTCTTTACTTTACATCAAGGCGAGCATCAATAGGTAAGATACACAAACATTATTTACTTGACATGACGACATGCATCAATAGGTTAGATACAGAAGCATTCTTGACTTGACATGACAGCATGCATCAATAGGTAAGATACAGAAACATTCTTTATTTGATATGACGGCTATAATCAATAGGTAAGATACAGAAGCATTATTTATTTGACATGAAGGCATGCCTCAATGAGTTAGGTACAGAAGCATTCATTACTTGACATGACGACGAGCATAATTCTGTTAGAAACAAAAGCATTATTTACTTGACATGACTGCGAATATCAATCGGTTAGGTACAGACGCATTATTTGGTTGACATAACGGCATGCATCAATATGTATGATATAGAAACATTCTTAACTTGCATAAGCCAGACATCAATAGGTTATTAAGGAACAAAGGCATTTTTAAATTGACATGACTGCATGCAATCATAGGTTAGGCACAGTAAAATGCTTTACTTGACATGACTGCAAGCATCGATAGGTAAGGTACAGAAACATTGTTTTCATGACAAGACGGCATGCATCAATAGGTTGGGTACAGAAACATTCTCTACTTGACCTGACACCCAGCATCAAAAGGTTAAGAACAGAAACATTTTTTACCGGACATGACGTCAAGAATCATTAGGATAGGTACAGAAGCATGATTTAACTGACATGACGGCGAGCATCAATAGGTTATGTACAGAAGCATTATTCATTTAACAGGAAGGCTATCACCAAAAGGTAAGGTACAGAAGCATTCTTTACCTGACTTGACCTCGAGCTACAAAAGCATTCATCACTTGACATGACAGCGAACATCATTAGGTTATGTACAGAAATATTCTTTACTTGACATGACGGCGAACATCAATAGGTAAGGTACAGAACCATTATTTACTTGACATGACGGCCTGCTTCAACAGGTATGATACAGAAACATTCTTAACATGCATAACGGCAGGCATCAATAGGTTAAGGAACAGAAACATATTTTGATTGACATGACTGCATGCAATCATAGGTTAGGTACAGTAGCATTCTTTACTTGACATGACTGCAAGCATCGATAGAATAGGTACAGAAGCATTATTTACTTGCCATGACGACATGCATCAATAGGTTAGGTACAGAAACATTATTCACTTGACATGACGTTTATCATCAATAAGTTAGGTTCAGAAGCTTTCTTTATTTGACATGACGGCAAGCATCCATAGGTAAAGTACAGAAGAATACTTTGCTTGAAAAGACGGCGAATATCAATATATAAGGTATAGAAGCATTCTTTGTTTGGTATGACGGCAATCATTAGTATGTTAGGTACAGAAGCATCATTCACTTGATATGACGATGAGCATCAATAGGTAAGGTACATAAACATTTTTTACCTGTCATGACAGCATGCACATTTGGTTAGGTAGAGAAACATTCTTTACTTGACATGAAGGCTATCATCAATAGGTAAAGTACTGAAGCATTCTTTACCTGACATTACGGCGAGAATCAATAGGATAGATACAGAAGTATAATTTACCTGAAATGACGGCTAGTATCAATATGTAAGGTACAGAAGAATTCTTCACCTGACATGACGGCATGCATAATCAGGTTAGGTACAGAATCATTCTTTATTTGACATGACGTCAAGCATAAGTATGTTAGGTACAGACGCAATCTTTACTTTACATGACGGCGATCATCTATAGGTTAGGTACAGAAGCATTCTTTATTTGACATGACGGTAATCATCAATAGGATAGGTACAGAAGCAAACTGGACTTGACATGACGACGAGCATCAATACGTTTTCGGCGATTAAAACGTTATTATTCAAATGTTGTATGCTAAGTTTTGTTTCATTCGTGAGCGTCATGACAATCCTAAAATTTAAACGTGAACTGCCCGGTGCCTGTTATTTCTACACTTGACATAACGGCAAGCATCAATAGGTAAGATAAAGAAGCATTCTTTACTTGAGATGACGGCGAACATCAATAGGTTAGGTACAGAAGCATAATTCATTTGATATGACGGCGTGCATCAATAAGTTAGGTACAGAAGAGTTTTTTACTTGACATGATGGCATACGTTAATAGGTAAGATACAGAAGCATTCTTTACTTGACATGACGGCTAGCATCAATATGTTAGGATCTACTAACTCTTCAGAAGCACCAGAGATCTACCCCTGTTTCTGTTAGGTTTCATTTTGCACAGTATTTAGTTTTATGTAGTTTTAGTTATATAAAAAATAGTTATGTCAGTATTGATTAAATTTGATCTAGACATATTTTGTAGTCCTTTTTAATTTGAGTTCTTAATCAAAATCAATAACTCCTTCAAATAACATGTATTACTTTTACATGTTGTATTTCTTATAGAAAACATATATATATATATATATATGTCTTATATATAAGACAACAGGATGGTAAAAATGTTCAACTACAAATCTAAATCGCATGATAAGATTGTCAGATAAGTCTCATATGTAAAAAAGAAGCATTTAAAAAGTTAAATGTCCGTTTCATAAGCCTTGAATATAAGTACTAGTACATTTATACTGACGGTAGAATATCGATGTAAAAATCGATATCAAAATAAAACAAATTAAGCTATAGTTGCTTTTTGTCAGTTGAACTTTTGTGAATTTATAACCGCTATTCGCTATCTTTGACATATAACAACAAAAAAGTGAGCCTACAAAAATTTATTATAAGATAGATAACTGGTCACAAATGACGTAATTTAAACAATAAACATAAATAATAACAGTTAAGAGATATAAATCTGAAAAAAAGACAACCATAGGCGTTTTAAGACAAATTTTACTGTAAAACAAATTGTAATTCAAAATCACACATAAAATATAGAAAAAATAAATAATATTAAGAATTACAAAAATATTTTGGATGGAGTTTAATTTTCAAATTGAAAATGCTTACATTTAAATGATCAATTATTACTTGCCTCCACATGTACAGTCCTGTCCGGAAGACTTAGTACTAAAATCATTGTATATCTGTCGATTCGGCTGCTAAGCCACACATTGATTTCCGTATTACAAAACAAATGTATAAGATTTTTTTATCATTAACTTAATCAGAGGGTAAAGAAAATGCATGTTTTTCTAGCATGTTAATTGTTTTCTTATCAAAATAGTTTAATAGAATAGCTTTCAACTTAATATATAATCTAACTTAGAAATTGCTGAGATTTTGTATATTCATGATTTATTTGCAACATGTAAACCGAATCTTTAAGGTTAATCGTTACTTTTATTTCCCACAATAGCACACCATATTTCTTTAATTATCATACACATGTTTATACATATAGTAATCCCTGATATTTGTTTAGTAGCACTTCCAGAAATTTAACAGTATCTTTTGCATTGATATAGTTATCATCTTTTGACTGGTGAGGTAATCCACATCCTTGAGTATGACGTGTACAGTTCATCCAATCATGTATGAGATCCAGCTCCTTTATTAATCCATTTATGTCACATGACAATTCAGGCATTGACGATACAGTGTCATTTATACATTGTATCACAGTTACTAAATTGATGCAGTCTGTTTTCATACAGTTCTCCACCTACAAAAAAAAAACGTTTTACTTTAATTGATATCTTTACCTCAATATGTAAGCTACAGAAGCATTTTTATGTTTGACCTGACGACAAGCATCAATAGGTGAGATACAGAAGCATTTTTAACTTGACATGACGGGAAGCAGCAATAAGTTAGGTACAGAAGTATTATTTACTTGACACTTTACATGACGGCGATCACCAATAGGTCAGGTACAAAGCATTCCTTAGACATGAGGGTGATCATAAATAGGTTAGATACAAAATCATTCTTTATTTGACATGACGGCAAGCATTGACATGTTAGGTACAGAAACATATAAAAAGTGAGAACGGAAATGGGGAATGTGTCAACGAGACAACAACTCGACCAAAGAGCAGAAAACAAAACAAGGCCAGCAATATGTCTTCAACACAGCGAGAAATTTATTACTTGACATGACGGCATGTATCAATAGGTTAGGTATGGAAGCATTGTTTATTTGACATAATGAATAAATTATAAATAAAATTCTTTATTAAACGAAGGTAACTCATTTAACGATGACATGTTAATCTTCCCTGAGGCCTTCAAAAAATATTAGTACAAATAGAAAGGAAAAAAACAAAAATACAAACAAAATAAAATTCATAATACAGTTTTATAAAGCAGCTTAAATATTGAATAAGTACATATGCATTCAATAGAAGAAAAAAATGTACATTAGATTTAGGTATCTTCATTCTGTACAGTTAAAATATAGTTTGAACATTTGATCTTAAATGTATCTAAATTATTCTTTGATATTATTTAACAAATTATTCCAGGTAGTAAGACCACAATATTTAAATGTTCTTTTTAAAAAATCAGAATTAGGTCTTGGTACATGAAGTCCTGATGTTGTCGACTTGAGACAATAATTATAAAAATCAGTACAAGCAGTAAATTTTATAGGTAGATAATCAGGTGCTAGACCATTCATACATTTTAAACATTAACACAGCTTGAAAATATTGTATCCTTGTAAATGTAGTCATCCATTCAAGCTTTTTAAACATTAAAGTTCATGGTAAATAAAAAAAAAAACCAGATAAAACAAATCTTGCAGCAAGTTTTTGGAGCTTTCCAGATTACAGTTTATGTATAGCTATTGTAAAAACGAATGAGACCCTTTATTGGTAAATAACGTTTCAACCTTTTTAACAGGTATATTCTGGTTGAAATAGTTTCATATATTTTATCAATTTGATTTGACCATGATAGATTTTTATCAATATGAATTCCAAGAAGTTTTTCAACTTCAACATTACCTAAAGCGATATTATCTTGTGATGAAACAGATAAACATTCATTGCAGCTTTCCAGTTTTCTGTTTGATCCAACATGCATACACTTTGATTTCTTGCTATTTATCGTCATATCATTTTCTTTACACCATTTATTAACATTTTCTAAGTCTTTATTCAAACATATATTTAAATTTAAAATAGATTTAGATGACAAATGCAGAGTTGTGTCATCACCATATATATCAGATTCTGTATATTCTAAAGTTAATGGTGAGTCATTGATATAAACAAGGAACAATAAAGGTCCAAGTGTAGAACCTTGGGGAACTCCAAAAGTTACAATTATATAATCCGATCCAGTGGTTTCTAACTTAACTTTAAGCTTTCTCTGAGAGAGGTATGATGAAACCGTTTTACAGAGTGGTCATCACATTTGTATAATTTTAGTGTTGATGAAAGGATAATGTGATTTACTGTATCAAATGCTTTCTTAGAATCTAAAAAATCAATAGCAGTAAAATTTCCATTGTCCAATTCTTCTAACCATTTATCAATTATTTTAATGAGTGCTGTATGACAGGAATGTTTTTTCTCTAAATCAAGACTGCTGTCCGGATCTATTTGTATCGGGGTTATACAGGTAGATCTTATTCAATAGATCTTTGAAAACCTGCGTTTTTATTAGATTAGTCGAGGATTATATGAATATTGGGCGGGTTGTTTGCCAGATGAATAATATTTCAACCTCTTGATGAAAAGTAATATATCGCAAAATTAGTATGTATACCGTAAAAACTTAAATTCGTATTCAGAATGTACTATATTCTTTAAAAAAAATTGTTCACTTACATTTTGTGAAAACCGTAAATACTGCCTCTTCAATCAATAATCTAACTTCAAGTTCAAAAGTTTAGAAAACTGAAAATACTAATTATACGAGGATATCTATCTAATCTATTTATTCATTTCAAACTGTTACTAGTATTTTGCCATAAAAGCGGGAGGTTTGGCTAGCCACAAAACCAGGTTCAACCCACCATTTTTTTCCAAAAAAATGCCCTGTACCAAGTCAGGAAAATGGCAATTGTTATCATATAGTTTGTTTCTGTGAGTGCTGCATTGTCGTTTTTGTTTATTTGTGTATTTGTCTGTCCTGTATGTTCTTCCATTTATTTGTATTGTAGTCCTGTCATGTAATATTGTCATTTTAGTGTTATATTTAACATTGCCATAAAAGCGGGAGGTTTGGCTAGCCACAAAATCCGGTTCAACCCACCATGTTTTTTCTTAAAATGTCCTGTACCAAGTCAGGAAAATGGCCATTGTTATATTATAGTTCGTTTCTGTGTGTGTTACATTTTAATATTGTGTTTCTGTTGTGTCGTAGATCTCCTCTTATATTTGATGTGTTTCCCTCAGTTTAAGTTTGTAACCCGGATTTTTTTTTTTCAATCGATTTATGAATTTCGAACAGCGGTATACTACTGTTGCCTTTATTTACCTGACAAAAGGAACAGCTACTCTGTTTCAACACAGGTGGGAATCGATAGTGCTGACTGTCCAAATGTACCATATGGCTACTTATTTCCATGGCCTTCAAACGATACAATAAATACATATACATCAATTATCAATCTATTGCAGAATTTAAGAACAACGTACTTTAAAAAAATAAATTCATTTTATTAAACATCTGCACCATAACAACATCGATGTTGTCGGCTTAAGAAAGATTTCTAGGGAACAATTCAATATCTGGTATGGTAATTTTTTATAAGAAAAATAAGAAAACATTGCATTTTATTCTTAGAAAAAGAGACATCAAATCAGTCGAAGAGAACAACTTATATCCCATATTATCCATTATCCATTTCTGTGTGCAATTTAAACCTATTCTGATCAGAGTGATAGATGTAGATTATGGCAATTTTGTGTATTTTTCCCCTGATCTTTTTTTAAATGATTTTTTATATCATGCTACTCGCTTGGGATAGACAATTATAGCCAGAAACTAAGGGCGCACGTGCCATTATCAATGTTAACATCAACGACGTCATAGGTAAAATAGCGATAAACATATTATCAATGGTCTTTCAAACTCGAGGATGTTGCGCACATCAGGGCCGTTGCCCTTCGACAATGTTCGATAAGATTGTTCCCGAGAAACAACCTCTTGATTGAAACACCATCGATAATCTATAAATATCCTGTTACACGCTAGAACTTAAGACCCATTATCAACAGCGTACTTGTTATCAGTCGAGAGAAAAAAAAGAATGTATGACGTCATGAGCCTTCGTCATTGGCGTTGCCTACAAAAACAGCGATATACAATTGTCTTTCAAACTCGAGGATGTTTATCGGCTATATCTCAATGATATGAAAATGATCACAAAAATGATCAAAGGAAAAATATACCAAATAGCGATAAGTACAGATTATCAGGATTTCTGCATATTGATATTTATAGATTATCGATGGTTTTTCAAATGAGAGTGTGTTTCTTAGCTACAATCTAATTTAAGGGCGACTGCCCTCAGATGAGATGTGACCGTGAAACATCCTCGAGTTTGAAAGACCATTGATAATCTGTTTATTATCGCTATTTTGCCTATGACGTCGTCGATGTTTACATTGGCGACGGCATATCAGCTCTTAGCTTTTAGCAAATTATTTTCTATATCAAGTAAGTAGCATGATATGAAAAATTATCACAAAAAAAGTTCAAAGGATAAATACACAAAAAAACATTAGTATGAAATATTAGCTGCGAATCACAATATGAAGCTTTTTTGAGGGAGCGCATCAAATTTGAAATGTAGCTTTTGATGATTGTGAAATGTCGAATCGCACGAAATTCGGTGGTCGGGTATATTTCTGTTATAATGATTTATATATACTGCAGCTGTGCTATTTACGCAGTCAAATTGAATTAACCGTAGAATCATTTGTGATATAACGTCACTGACCGTATATCTCCTTGTTTATGACATTGACAATGCGTTTTATTTATGACGTCATTAAAAGTACAGTTTCGCGGAAGTTTGAGTTTTTTATTTGTACTCGGCTCAAAACAGGATAGAAATGCTCGGAAAAGCTTTGCTTTCTATGTATTTCTAAGCCCTGTTCAAATACAATGTATATTTTGAGACAATGTATGGTTATTCTATATGTAGACGATGTGTATTTCTTTTCTTGACAGGTTAACAACCAATCTGTTATTTTGATGTTATCATGACGGCATGTGGTATGATTGATTTTTGTGACGTCACACTAAAAGTTCAGAGGAAAACAAGAACATTTGACGTCATAATTTTAATTAGACCAAAGAAAAAATACTATCAAATAAACCATAAGTCGATTGTCCTAAATAACAGTAGATAAATCAATGAAATGAAATATCAATGTAAAAACTAATATACTAATGAATCCAAAATCGTTAAATTTTTTTGTCAAATTCTTCGCAAACTCTTTCCGGTATCGATTCTCTCGGTTCTTTGAGATAAAATGTAAGGAAAGAACATCTTATGATTTCCCGCAAATTTGATGTATCAAAAAAAGCCGACTTTGTATCGTTGTCGTTTTGAGGTAAATATTATCATATTCTTAATTAAATATAACTAAAAAAACCAGGTAGGGTATGTGTTGTTTTTAAATGATAGTAATTTCTTGGTTTTTTTTTAATGTCATAGTTTGTATAATTATTTAAAGCCTTAGTACATTTTACTCTAGTTTTAATTTTGCAAAATCAATATTTGAATAAATATTTATACGTACTCTTCCACAACACCTGCCTCATATCAATATAATAAAAATCAAAAGGTCGGGAAAATTTAAAAGAATAAAGAAATAAGTTGCCTACCTATCATTTAATATTAATTAGAGAAAGATTCCACTATCGAATCTCGTGCAAAACGATATTTCTACACTTTGACAGTAAATTTTCAAATATTTACAAAATTCGGTATAATACCTTGCGTTTTTAATTTAAAAATTAAACAGCCTACAGTTGAGAAATATTGTATCATACTCGATGCAGTAGTAGAATCTATATTAATATATTTACTGACAAATGCATTCATTACTGTATTACGTAAAAGATGACAAAATACAAAATACAGTCTCAAACAACAAACAGGTGTCCGTACAATATGTCAAGTTACATAATATAGTCTCAAACAACAAACAGATGTCCGTACAATATGTCAAACTACAAAATACCGTCTTCAACAACAATCAGGTGTCCGTACAATATGTCAAACTACAAAATACAGTCATCAACAACAATCAGGTGTCCGTACAATATGTCAGGCTACAAAATACAGCTTCAACAACAATCAGGTGTCCGTACAATATGTCAAACTACAAAATACAGTCTTCAACAATAATCAGGTGCCCGTACAATATGTCAAGCTACTAAAAACAGTCTTCAGCAACAATCAGGTGCCCGTACAATATGTCAGGCTACTAGGGTTTCCATTCAATATGTCAAACTGCAGTTTACAACAACAAAAACGTGAGCGTTCAATATGTCAAACCACTAAAATCAGTCTTAGAAAACAAACAGGTTTCCATACAATATGTCAAACTAAAAAGATATAGTCTTCAACTTCTAACACCTGCTCATAAAATATGTCAAACTACAAAATACAGTCTCAAACAACAAACGGGTGTCCGTACAATAAGTCAAACTACATAATACAGTCTCAAACAACAAATAGATATCCGTACAATATGTCAAACTACAAAATACCGTCTTCAACAACAATCAGGTGTCCGTACAATATGTCAAACTACAAAATACAGTCTCAAACAACAAACAGATGTCCGTACAATATGTCAAACTACAAAATACCGTCTTCAACAACAATCAAGTGTCCGTACAATATGTCGAACTACATAATACAGTCTCAAACAACAAAAAGATGTCCGTACAATATGTCAAGCTAGTTTTGTTCTCAATATTTTCACTCTCCATTTAAATCATGATAAGATAATGCCTTTTTCAAAATTACTTACAGTTGCGTTTTTTATCCTAATGGCCGCAGGCAATGCATAATTTTTCAGACGACTTTCTACTGTAACAATTGTTGTATATTTCCTCTTGTAATCATCGTACACATTTTTGGCAGTCAAAGATGTGGCGATATGGTTTGAAGCAATGAATGCTAGGAGCGTTAACTGTAAAAGATGAATGTTTTTATTGAATCAATTTGTTTAGGATATTTATAATACAGGTACAGGTTTTGTTTATAAGATATAAGATGCGAACTTATTGATCTTTTCAAAGATTATAGTGATTGCCCTGATTTTATAACTTAGTTTATCAAAACCTGGTGTCATACTTTACGCTATAATAAAAGTTCAATGATAAGTTAATATTGACATTAAAAGACCTTCAAACAAAAAGGGATTTGAACAGCCCTTTTTGTGAGAAGGTCTTTTAATGTCAATATCAACTTAATCATTGAACTTTTACTGACTTACAGACCATCAAAAACATAAAAAAAGTATGTAAAAAAACACTTGCAGAAGCCTGAATTGGACGAGTCTTAATATATTCAACTTAAATAATAGTTAATCAGTTCTCAGACTGATATATACAAGTAAAAGTTACCAAATTGCATTGGAAACGGATTAAATGATAGTACATCATTTAGTTATTTATTTATTATAATTTTTTTAAGCAACAAAAAAACACCATAGGGTAGTTGTATAGAATTAAGGGGTTAATTTATATTTTGAATTCCAACTTTTTAAAATAACGATTTTTATTTTATAAATGAGTAAATAAAAAGCCTATACAGACCTCATTTGTAACTGACCAATGAATGTTCTGTACAAAAACTTCTTGTTATATATATTTAATGTTTTTAATCTGTCAGTAATCATGAAATAGTAAGTAAAGACCAGACCATATGAAAACAGTAAGTAAACTCTTCCAACAATTAGTTATTTAAATAGCTTGTTTCAAAACTTCTAATCGAACAGACCTAGATGCATTAGATCCTAAACAACATTCAGGTAAATGTTCATTTTTTTGGTTTTGATTCTGTAATTTTCCTACACTACGTTACATGCGAATGAAAAATAATTAATGTAGTCTGTTCAGTTCAATTAATTAATAAACTTTGTTTTGTTTGGGGTTTTTTTTAAATAAAAAAACTATGCCTGTAAACTTCAATGAAACAAAATCGTATTAAATAGCCTAAATGTAATCTTTAGCATCAAGTTATGTAGGCTTGGAGGCTCGATCAAAACGTGTATAGATGAGATATTTTCGCAAGGTTGATCATCATTCTTAAATTGAAAAACAATGTATTATATGAAAACAAATACTTTTTTTAGTCGTCCATCATTCCCTTTTCACGTCTAAATGAAGTATAAACACCTTGAAAAAACTTTTACCTTGCTTAGTTTTAAAATCGCCTGACATAATCATATATTATATCAATTCTTAGCTTTTAGCGAGGTCGATACGTTATATATGGACTTGGTCAGATTATATTGACCGAGGACGAAGTCTGAGATTCAATATAATCTAACAGGTCCATATATAACGTATTGACTGAGTGAAAGTTCTTAATTTATATATTACATATGTAAATTAAGAAAGTTTGAAAAAGATTTTGACTCGATGTTCCTATTTTTGGAAATTATATTGACTAATATCATTTAAAAAAAGGAACGTCGAGTCAATATGTCAAAATAGTGAAAGAATACAAAAGATATATTGGGAAACACATGACCAAATATATCAATGAGAAACAAGAAACATCAGACCATATGTAATATATCGTAATAAAACAGAAGATAAGAACCATAGTAAAAAGATATTAAAAAAATTATAAGTGCTCAGTTATGTAGTAAATTGCAAAAATTGGTTAAACAAAAAACACATAAAAAAATTTGCACTATTATTGGGTGATTTAAATGGAAATTTTACATTATAGCATTTTACAAGCTCTTGTCTTCGTGTACTCTGTACATGGAATAATTTATGAAGTTGCTTGATTGTTGTTTGCTTTACGTCCAGTGGCAAACAATTTGAGACAATTATCAACTGATGAATACTGATTATACATCCCTATATGAAGTTGATTAATTGATTGCTCCCTTAATGTCCAGTGGCAGATATTTCATGCATATTCACGACGAGATGCAAAGTGGATCGACCTGAAGCAAATGATAACAATTTTAGAGCGACACTTTAATAAGACAGAGCGTTGGCTAGAGGTAACACGTATGCCATACTAGAATAAAAACGAACTATGATCAAAATCGTAAGTTAAGCTCTTACATCCCCCCCCCCCCCTTTCTTTTTTCTCCACGTCTTTTTAGGGCATTTAACACATAAACATAGCATGAATTAAAACTAGAATGAACAATAATTTGATAGAAAAAATTAAATAATAAATAAGCATTTCCTGGTTTCGGACAGGTTTGTATTTCCACTCAAATACCGTCTTATTATTGATCGGTGATAATCAACCAAAAGCACTTGGATTCTCTGAAATTGTAAATTATGGTATTTCGCTGGCTGTTTTTTTTTTCCCGATCCTATTTTGGACCCCTGATTTTAAGAGGGCGTGTCTAATTAGTTATGCCTGATTAACTTTTAGTAAATTGAACCTCAGCTTAAAGACCTACGCCGGGTTAATAAGTTTGAGGTACAATTAGTAAACAAAAGAGATTCTTTATGCAATGAGATCGTCCAGGGTATCTTAGATAATTATTTTGCATTGAATAACAATGAAAAATGCACGAACAGGTTTGTAAACCCAATCAAAATTATAATTTTTTGCATATTTCAAGTCATGCAATACATTATTTTTATTTTACCTAAAAATTAGGTAAACATTCCAATAAGTTATGAACTGATTAATACAAGGCCTTTTCCATATCGGCCTGAATATCATCCCGAGACGTAATTCGAGTGCTGGTCTGGGTCGAAGGATGATACCCTGGCCGATATGGGAAAAGAGATGTATTAATTTTTATCATATACTTCCGAAAAATTGTTTTTATATTATGCAAATAACATATATTAATCATTTTTGAGCCGAGTACAAGTACAATTTATATTTCGAGACAATGCATGGTTATTCTTTATATACTGCAACTCTTATAACTGTTCCAAATGAAATATTTGAAACATTTGAAATGATATACAAATTAAAAAAGTGGAGGGGATCCAACCCAAAAAAGTTGCTTAAAATCGGGATGGCATTAAAAATTGGGGAAATGTAAAAAATTACAAATTATCCGCCATGGGGTTGATGTCAGATCACCTTCGGCCCTTCCAGTCAGGATCTGTCTCGCAGTTACCACATAAGATTGAACTAGCAATTCGACTACAATGAGACGTTATTTATTGTACTCACATTAAGTAAAGACATCTTCATTGGAATTGGAGAAAAGTTAATTATTTAGGCTTCTAATGAAAACTGAAGTTTTTTGTATATGAAAAAGGAAATTTACATTCCTACTTTTAATAAATTTCCAAATAAACATAGTTAAAGCAAAAAGAATAATGATTATTGTTAATAGCAAATTGAAATTCCGGGACTAATTCTAAAACATATATGTTCATCAAATTTCTAATCGACCTCTTAAATATTGAATTTGAATCGAATAATATTTCCTTCTGTTTTCTATTATCGGAAGCAAGTACTCAAAAGTAACAACAGGAACAATGTTAATTAAATTGATAAATGCAGGCACATGTTTGAACTGGAAATACCTTACAAATATGACACAAATACGCTGTATTCCAAATATTTAAAACTTTTAGGAAATTTTTAGGTCATCACGATTGCGATTTTGTCGTTATTAACCATGATACATCGATGGCAAAAGCTGAGTTTTTCATGGTATGGTCTAGGTTATGAAAAGAAACAAACACAAAAATGAAACATCCGTTAACAAAGGTATTCAAGAGATATTGGAACTTTATAGATATGTTTGTCCTTATTTATTATTTAGTTTAAACTTCATATATCAATGAGTTACTAGATAAAACTGATGAACTAGAATGTTTGTATGTAAACATTGGAGTCAAACTGTTACCAAGAGTTCCAAATGGTGAAGTTGAAATCATCCCTTCGTAAATTTTACGGACGCCATCACGAGTTGGTTGACCGTTGTGGAATAACCGTTTCACAGATGATATCGGATATGTTCCTTATGTCGTAACTATAATAACCTTTCCTTTTCACGAATGTGACCTACCGAATTAGACTACTTACCGGATTTTTAATAACATAAGCAACACGACGGGTGCCACATGTGGAGCAGGATCTGCTAACCCTTCCGGAGCACCTGAGATCACCCCCAGTTTTTGGTGGGGTTCGTGTTGCTTAGTCTTTAGTTTTCTATTTTATGTCATCTGTACTATTATTTGTCTGTTTGTCTTTTTATTTTTGGCCGTGGCGTTGTCAGTTTGTTTTCGATCTATGAGTTTGACTGTCCCTCTGGTATCTTTCGTCCCTCTTTTACATGTTTCAATTATTGTGGGTGGGTTTTTATTTGTGTGTGTGTGTTTTTCTTCCGGGATGGTTAGTAGGTTTTCAAAATTTTCTTTGCACCAAAACAAAAAAAAAACAAAAAAAAAAACAGACGCGGCTTGACATACAGTCAGCATGAATCCTTGTAATAATCACATAAACAGTTTAAAATGTTTCAAATGAATTTGGATCCCTTGATTTTTTCTCTCGGAATATATATACCTAGTGAATATTTTTTCTCAGAAACACTTTAGGCGCGTACATAAAGAAATATTCAACTTATTCTATAAAACTATTTTAAATATCAAGCCAAATTCACAGTTTTCGGTTTAGAAAGTTAGTTCTATTGTTTATTTCACACAGTTTAAAAAAAAAATGCACAGATTAAGGTTTTTCTTTGAATAAGAAAGAAATTTAGCAATTTCCTGTTTAAGAAAATCCCTTCCTGGTCTATTGTTTGATGTCAAACATATCTTATTCATTCGGACATGAATAGGATTGAATATCAGACGCCACCTTTAAAAGCTATCTCCACATCACATGTACAAGGTGTAAATCGTATATAAACAACATTAACTAAAACAGTAGAACTATAGTGGATTGATGCCTTATGAGCACACACAAAAACGTACATTTATATTTACAGTGTTACCAAATGCATATTACATTCAGGTGTGTAGGCAATTAATCATCAGTTATTCAAATACTTCGAGACACGTATATATCAACACCATTTATAAGTCATTAGAAATATAATATACGCATACATAACAAGATGATAGTGTTTACTTGAACCTCAACATCTATCCTTAAAAAACAGGTGGATGTCCCCTTTCCCTTCTGGTAAATACAATATTAATAGTTTTTTTTAGTGAAATTGAAGAGCAATGATTTAGCCAGTTTGCAACAACATCTTAGTCATCAGTATAAGAAGCATCTGATACAGCATGATACCCGTTTACTATAACAAATAAAGAAATGTTTATAAGAAGCATCTGATACAGCATGATACCCGTCTACTATAACAAATAAAGAAATGTTTATAAGAAGCATCTGATACAGCATGATACCCGTCTACTATAACAAATAAAGAAATATTTATAAGAAGCATCTGATACAGCATGATACCCGTCTACTATAACAAATAAAGAAATGTTTATAAGAAGCATCTGATACAGCATGATACCCGTCTACTATAACAAATAAAGAAATGTTTATAAGAAGCATCTGATACAGCATGATACCCGTCTACTATAACAAATAAAGAAATGTTTATAAGAAGCATCTGATACAGCATGATACCCGTCTACTATAACAAATAAAGAAATGTTATTTGCAAAAAGTCCAATGTCATGTTCGATGTCATTTATTATATATATATATATATTATAAGAAACGGAAAGAGTACAAAAAACTGATCACTAGGAAAAACCTGCATGTTTACTTTGAAGAGTTGATAAAACTCAACCAAATGCAACCGAATGATTTTAATATATACCAGTATTAAGTTATAATAGGTCAAAATCTCAAACGTCAAATAAAACTTAAAATCAAATTCAAATTTATAGATCATGGATCTCAAGTCTATAAACTTAAGGTCTCTATTATGTATGGTTTATGAGTTAGTCGCTATGCTGTCAAACAACTTATTTCAAATATTTAAGGATCGAAAAACTATAAAAAATCACCAAACACTTTAACCTGAAATATTGAATTTGCAACAATTTAGTAAAAATCTTTTGTCGATAACCTCTGCGGTTTGAAATGCGTATAGTAGCGATAACAAGCAAACTTTAAAATTTATAACGTGACCTTGAATTTTGACTCGATTTCATTTTAATTAACCCAGGCCATAAATCTAAACACCCAAATTCAGTATCAATCATGGTTGATGAGTTACATTTGCATACTGCTTATGTCAAATATAGGAAGGGAAGCAACTTTCATATGGAAAATCCGAATCGCTTCGGTCAAAGTTGAACTGAACATCCTCATGATATAGCAAGGAATTGGAAAACAATACCTTTGTCGATATGTTTAATGTTTTAGAGTGGTATCAGGTAAAACTGTGTATTGAAGGATAACTCTTATAGAAAAAAGTGTATGCTTAGATGGGGTCAACTGTGAAAGCTTTATCATTGTTTGATATCATATGCCAAAAATCGTTTCGATATCTTGTGAAATAAAAACAAGTCTCAACATAAAAAAGTGGCGGAAGTAAAAAAAAAAAAATAAATACATTGTTCAAAGAATAATTGAAGACCTGTCTACTTGAAATGTTATATTGAAAATATTAATTAACGGTTTAGAATGTCCTTTCCTGTGTAAGTTTGTAGCATATCTTTTACTGAGTCTATATACTAAAATACTTAGTTGATGATATCTTTTTTTTTAATGAAATGTAAAATTTCAATAGCCAAACCGGATTCAGTCACTAGAAATCTGAAATAATATCTTACTTACAATAGTTTCAAAAATACTTGGATGTACTTTTGATTAAAATAAAGAAGATACTTTGCTACTTCCGGTTTACAAAATGTCCCTTCCGGTTTTATAAGATCGGCTACTTCACAGTAGTTCCGAAAAAATATAGCTAAAGGTGCTTTAAAATAAAATAAGGGCAAACAATGGATACCTTATGTTTACACAAGATGACTACTGGGAGATAACTCTTTAAAAAAGGGTTAGGGTTTTCGGTTTAATAAAGCGAGTTTTGGAAGCGCAATGACTGTTCAATATCCTATGCAACATTTATAATCTTTCAAAACCACAATAGACCGCAAGAAAAAGGGTGTCAAAAGAAGAAAATAGTATCAGAACATAATCAAAAGGTCCTTCCAGAGGGAAGTAAAAGAAAATTTTGATTATATTCTGATAATTTTCGTCTTCTTCAGACATTCAACTTAACTCAATTTGTTAAGTTGTCTTTCCACAGGAAAGTGGAGAGACCTAATACATTGAATAAATGAATCCCTTAACCGAAAAATAATTCTTTTCAAGAACATTCATATTTTCCAAATATTTTTTTGTTTACTTATTTTAGTTAAACTGTGTCTGAACATTTTATTAATGAAATCTTTTTTTTTAACTTTTCAAAACATCATTATTGCATAACCTCCCAAAATGAACGCATTCTCATATTAGAGAGTGTGGTAAAGAAATATCAACACTAGTATTCACTCGTTCCAGCTGTACAAACCTTTCTAAAGTTTGCCATTCGTTAAACTATGCGGGAAATACGTATAAATCCGATGCCACGTCCGATTAGAATGGCGACGTGTTAATGTTTTCGTCCTGAAAATAATTTAACAATTGCCACTGAATGTTAAACTAACATTGTAAAAAAAACCAGAAAAACAGTACTCATTTTCAAAAATCAACGAACATATATGTAATGCCATGGCCAAAGTAAACTAAAAACAGAAAAGAGAAAAAATGGTCCCATAAGTACGTAATGTAAAATTTAAAATGGATCAACCTCATTTAAAACGGGGATGATCTGACTAAAGATTCTTCTTAAATATGTGTTAGTATCAGCTTCACAAGTGGTATACATTTGTAATAGATTTTATTTGAAATTAACATTCAGAATATCTAAATTCATTCATCTAATTCAAATTATACTTAAACATTTCGTTTTACAAAACAGTCAATTTCCGTTTTATTTGTGAATATTCACAATACAGTTCAGTTCTTTTTGTGAAAATTTACAATAAAATTCAGTTCTGTGTGTGTTTATTCACAAGGATTTCAATTATGAAGTGAGTGTGTCATTACTTACTTTTTCTGAAACTCAACTTTTCTTCTCCTGAATAACATTCCTAGCTTAAGATCCCGCCAGAATGACGACTAGGCCACCCTGAACAATGTAAATAATGACTATCCAAAAATGCAACGTAACACCATTTCTAAATGGTTCATCAGTTTCATAACTTTATATCTAAAATTTGATTCATGTTTGGCTGTCTCGACGGGGCAATGCGACGGATATCATATCGGAAGTAGCACATTTAAATTAAGTAGAGTATTTGATTACAAGGAAAACAACTTGACCTTATGATGTTTCATTTCACGGAATATTATTTGACCTTCTGTTGTTTCATTGATGTATTTATACTCCCAATTACGCACTGCTATAACTATGAATAAGTTGATTTATAATGACGACTTCAACATTTTTATACTATCAGATACATTTGTAAAGAATTCATTTTCGTTTCCGTTTACGATAGTGTTAAATAATCGTAATATATTATGCCAATTAATTATCTGCGTTCAATTGTAAGCTAAAAATAAAATCAGCTACAAAAGATATTTCCTGCGATAATCTTGTCATTAAATGGTTTCAGCTGCTAGAACTTTATAACTTTCAAAATGCTCACTTATGGTGAAATTTTATGGAAAGTAAATTTCCTCTGTTAAACATGGCTTTAAATTTTACTGATTTTCAGAGAAATTAGTTGAGTGCTCATTAAGGCAGGATACCTTAAGATTGAAATTATATTGCGATATATTCATCAAATTATATACATGATACAAATGAAAATTCCAGTCTATTGTTTGAAACATTGGTGAATGTTTATATGTTATCATTTCATCAACTTTTTCAGTCGTTTACTCATATCCCAAAAGAGGGACGAAAGATACCAGAGAGACAGTCAAACTCATAGATCTGACAACGCCATGGCCAAAAATAAAAAGACAAACAGACAAATAATAGTACAGATGACACAACATAGAAAACTAAAGACTAAGCAACATGAACCCCACCAAAAACTGGGGGTGATCTCAGGTGCTCCGGAAGGGTAAGCAGATCCTGCTCCACATGTGGCACCCGTCGTGTTGCTTATGTTATTACAAATGTTCCATTTCAAAAATATGTTTAATGTTCTTATTATAATCTTTGTAGTTTGACTTGATTGTTGTATTCATTTTTTATGAATGAAAATAACACTTAGAATGTTCGTGCATCCAAAGCACTTATCTGGATTTTCCTTTGTCAGGAACGACAAAATCTAAACATGTGACAGGCAGAGATGCAACAATACACAGACAGGGTAGCAGCTATATGAACAATAGGAACATTAAAGGAATAGCCGAATTCACCTAAGGTCAACTTTGCTTGAGGGAATAGGAACCTTAGTTTTATTAATTTCCTAATGTATCATAATGCAATTCTAAATATAAAAATAAGAAGACGTGGCATGATTGCCAATGAGACATCATTCCAGCAGAGAATAAATGACATATGTACGTTATAATTCATTTCAGTACCGAAGCACGTATTACTGAGATGGGGCAAGATACGTAATTCAATTTTACCCTTTTCTTCAATTTCACTGTCAATATCGTAAACCTGAATATGTATGATGACTCCTTTCGACGCTGAGACAATTTCACAGATGTGCTTAAATTTTGGGGGTACGAAGTGAGATTGAATTTTTTTTTTAAATTGTGAACCCCGATAGCCCCATAACTTTCAGCTTCAGCAAATTAAAAGTCCTTATTTTCACACTGTTCAATACTCTGTAATAGCCTCTTGTCTATTATCATTGCATACACTATTTTTATTTCCTATTCATAGTTGAGTTCCTAAATTTGAGGCACATTAGGGATAATAACCCATATTGAAGACGTTTGTTCAGATTTTTCCTAATTTTCTAGTGCGATTCTTTTCTGTATGACTTTCGGAAAGATTATTTTTTTAAAACTCTAGTAAATAATATCTTTGTTACCATTAGCAATCTTGTATTTCCACCCTTAAAATCCACTTTAAGCAATCGTGAACATCATTGTCAAAGAGTTTAAATTAAAACAGTAACTTATCATATTTATATAGTATCAAGTCCATAGCAAAGGTTTTTATACCTGCAAGTTTTCATAACCTGACTGTCATTGACTGCAATGTCAATCGCAAACACCATAAATGTACAATTAAGAGTTTGTTTGATAAAATGTAATGCTTACCAGTACCTCCTTATTTTGGTCCAGTTTCTTATTTGAAATCTCAACTTAAAACTGGTCTAGTACTTTTCAAACTGAAACAAGACGAGAAAATGATTACGATTGTATTTTTAGTTCATGCAGCTACAAACTGTCAACTGGAAAAAAATTTACAAATTTTTGACAGAATTACAACAAAAAAGAGTTATTCTTTCTGTTAATGGCATGCAAACATTCAGATCAACCCTAGAGTGTATAATAAATTATTTCTAGTCTAATCAAAAAAGATGTAGCACTTGTCTTTTCAAATGGTAAACCCTCTCCCTTTTTCACTCGGATTGACATTTATCTTGTCAATTTTGTTGCGCATTTTGCGACAATCCCTGCACTGTTTAAAGTATGTTTGCTTGTTTCGTTGTTAGTTTGAGTATCCAGCCTCTATCTAATGATCGAAATTGTTATTTTTCCTTTATACTGTAGGATACACATGCAGAGTTATTTCCCTAGATTTCTGGGTTGTTCACATTTGTATTATAATAGCATGTTCGCGTACTCTCTGTGTCATATACACTTACAATTTTTACATTCTCTAATGCTTGCATTAGACACCAGGCTAGTCGTTTGAAGAAATCAATTTAATGTGCTCAGAAACTGTCTCCTTTGAAAAGATCTATTTTGTATTTGACTAATTATAAAACCCATTCTTCATACCGTACCAAAATATATTTTCAAAGTATCTAACCGTGGCTATAATTAAGAATGGTATAGAACAATTGGTGAATAAGGTATTTATAAAAGTGAACAAACTTCGATTTTCTGAATTTGATCAGGTCCCATAGATGCATTTATCCAGGAAACAGTCAGACAACTTCCAAAATCAGGTCCACACTTTGGGTCAAGATGTGCAATTCATTTCCGATGGTTGATAATAGTAGCCTTTTTGTCCATATCGTACACTTGGATATAACTGATTGGTCGTTTCGAAGCTGAGACGTTTTCACAGATGTGGTAACATTTTTAAGATAGGAAATGAGATTACATTTTTTACAAATTGGGAAAACCCGAAGGGCACCATTTGATGCCATTTTAGCAAGTGAAAAAGCCATATTTTTACACAATAAGATTTTTTGGAAATTCAGTTTATACAAGTATTTATCTATTCAAAGATTTTATATCTTTATTGTTAAGCCTTCTGCTCATTAAAAATGCACAAATGGGTAAAACGCACTGGGTCAGTCAATACACAAAATAGCATAATATCTAATATCATTGCATACAGGTTTTATTTATTCCTATTTATAGTTGAGTTCTTTAATTTGAGTGGCATTTAGGGAGTTTACCCAGCTGGTGATATCTTCGGGGACTACACCAGCAGTGGTATCGACCAAGTGCTATTTAAGAAAAATGAAGGTAGTATCCAGATCCCCCTTTTTCCAGTATCGCCACCAATGGAGTTAGTTCCAAAATAGTATGGTAATATCCTGAGAATAGAAGTGCCCTTTGGGAGACAGTTGCCAAAGTTTTACATTAGATACTTCCCTGTTTAGATAATTTTCATTTTCAGTTAAGCAAAACATCAAATGTTGGCAGTTCTTTGAAGGTATTTTAAGAGGTATGCGAAGAAGTAGGAATTGGATAATGATAGAGCTAGGGATAGGATTAAAGTTAGGGTAAGGGTTAGGGTTATGTATCATATAAAGGAGTGACCCTGGGGTGAATGCACATTATAAAGGTTGTGATATGGCTAGCGTATGAATATATGAGGGTTAGTGTTAGCGGGATCTTTTTTTTTAAACCCTAACACCAACCCTTGCGCATGAGCCCTTACCTTAGTTCCTTTGTGCATGCGCTGATATGTTTTGGTTTCAAGTGTACCCCCAATAGTATAGATGCTTACATCGCTTATATACCCATTTATTGGCATCAATTTCAAATTAACGGTATAAAAGGGAGATTATTTGACCCTTATAAACGTCTTAGTGTCCTTATTTCTTATCCAATTGTATGAACGTATGACTCATTTTGACGGACATTGCATGCTCTGCAATTTGGACGTGTTTATGATGGCCAGGTGAATATTTGAAGAAGATTTTGCAGTTGTTTTAGTCTCAAACTAAGTATTATATGTATAATCTTTGTAATTTTCTCTTTTATACTTTATAGAGGTAGTTTGACATTAAAGGGAAGGAAATAAAGTTTAGAATAACAAAATTTGTTGTCGGCATCAAGAAAAAAGGCCACTGTTTTCCCCTTTTCCTGATTATTCTATCTCGGCATCAACAATTTATTCTAAAGATGGATAATTTAAGACAAAATGAAATTTCTATAAGTTTACGGTTACTTATATTTATCTCGATTACAATAAGAATAATTTCTTCTTTTAAATAATATTCTGGTACTGGCCTTATAATTGAGTACTTTTAAGTACATCCTTAGGGGTTGTTTGACATTAAAGGGAATGAAATCAAATTTTAGCTAGCAAAATTTGTTGTCGTTATCAACAAAAGGTGCCAATATTTTCCCTTCTCCCTGATTTTTCTGGTCCGCGAAGGTAGGTTAATGTAGGTTTTCACTTATTTTTTTAAACCACCCCCCTTTTTGTCTCATTTTCATTTTGAAAGAAAATAAAGATATTTTGTGACCTTCTAGGATCGGGATATCACTTATTAGAGTAGCAGGTAAGATTATACGATTTCACACCTAGTGTCCGAAGTTGTCACGTGATGATATGTCCTATTCCCTGGGTAATCTAGCCCGTAGAACTAGTTCCCACACTGAAAACTATGCCATAAAATTTAACCGAGTTATAAATGACACTTTATACTACACATTTATTGCTGATCGCTTCCTGAAAAGACGTTTCCTGTTTAAAAAAAAAAAAGTAATCAATAATACTCGTCCGTTGTTGTGACCTTTACCATAAATAATGCTTCGTTTACATATTTGACGTACAATTTTCATTTGCGATCAGCAATTTTCTAATTGAGTATATTTTCCCCTACAATTTTTGTGAAATAACTTTATATAC